ACGAGTACTCCCACGGGTATTTCTAAACCCACAGCCTCGAAGGGAAGTTGCTGGCGCCCATTTTGCGTATGAGGAAACCGAGGCTGGAAGCTCAGGTCCTTGCCTGAACCACACAGTTACACCGCCCGAGACTGGAACTGGGCGTAAAAGGGCGCTCCAGAGCTCACCTGTCCAGCCCCACCCCAATCCTGGGAATCTTGCCGATTCAGTTAATCAAGTGGGGGGAGGGTAGCTATCCTTCTATTCTCCAAAGGAGGCCCGATACCCAAGTCGGCTAGGGGCACTGTACCCAGCAGTATCCCCCAAACATCTTAACTCGGAAAGCCACCCAGAGTTGTAGGGAGGGGGTGTGTGTCCAAGATCCCTCCAAACGTGCGACGTTTAAGGAAAGGTCGGAGCGCCAGCCGTCCAGCACGCAAGTGCTCTGGTAAAGAAAAGGGGTCGCCCCCTTCCCGCCCACTCTGCCCACGTGGTAGCGGTCAAACCGGTTTCTGGGGCCCCAGCAAGCCGCCGCCAGCTCTTGACCCCCTAACCCTGCCCCTCCCCCACCAGCGAAGAAAACCAGACGGGCTGCGCAGACTTTGTATACAATTGGTCTTTATTTTCCTATCTGGCAAAAAGGCCAGATAGAGGGAGTTACCAGAATCCACCAGTAAAGGCAAACAGAACCCCAAAACGCCCTGGCGAGAATCTCCCGCCTCCCCCATACTGGCCCAGTCTCGCCAACCACTGATCCCTTCTCAGCCCTACAGCGCTCTGAGCACCCCTCCCCCCATTTTTGTGATTCAGACCAGGAACGTCCGGGTTGATTGTGCCTGTGGGTCTGAGGGTCAAGCTTGAGACGGTGAATAACATCCCCACCTCTAATGCACCAGATGAGAAAAAAATTTAAAATGAAATTAGATCAGCCCTCTACCTCCGGAGGCGTAGGGGCTTCGGGCAATAACCCGCAGCAAGGGAAGGCGCAGTGACTCAGGCCGCCCTCCTCCCATTCCCCAGGGCGGTCCACACCCCAGGTCCTCCTCCCGGCCCCCACCCACGCATGGCAGCAGGAAGCTCCCCACGTCTGCCCCATGACGCAACGATGACCGCTTGCACAAGTATGTCACAGGAGGGGGAAGGGGAGTGCCTGGAATTCTCTGAAGTTGGAAACGCAAACACCAACGATTGAAAAACCTTATTGAGAGGGCAGCATAGGCCCCAGTTAAAAAAAACGTCCGACCCTGAGGAGTTTCAAGAACCAAGCCTCCCGTCTCCCAGTTCCAGAAGGAGTCGGTGAGGTTCACCTCTCAGTCCGTTAAAACAGCACCGATGGGAGCAGCAGGTCTGGGGGGGAAGGCGCCCGCCCCCCCGGCTCAAGCTCCTTGGCGTCGCCGCTGCACACAGGTAGCGACGGCTCCCCGGGGCCTCTTGGGGCCTCTGGGCAGCCCGGGCGACGGCTCCTCTTCACGGCTTCCGCGAGCGCTCCCCCGGGGGTGGGCCTCGCCTCGGGTCTGCGTACTCTGGCCGACGGTTCGGCCCGCGCTCTGGGCTCCGGTAGCGCCGCTCAGGAACCCTCAGAAGGCCACCACGGCCCGTACCAGCACGTTGAGCATGTTGTCCGCCGGGCGGCAAACCGGCTTCGCCTCGCACGCCGGGGACGCCGTCGGAGAGCTGGCAGCGGGACTGCAGTTCAGGAGGCCGGAGAAGCGCCTCTGCAGGACGCGCGCCAGGTTGGGGAAGGCGCCCTCCGCTTGCGCCGGAGGGGGCTGCAGGCGATCAAGGACCTCCGAGGAGGCCCCTTCCTCCTCCTCTTCTTCTAAGCGGGCTTTCTTGCTCGGGACCAGAGCGGCGTCCGCACCATCGCTAAAGCTGCTGCTCCGCCGCTTTCGGCTGATTTTGGCGGGGCGCTGGACACAGCGGGCGGGGGTCTCCTCGGCTCTCGGTGCCTCCTGCGTGTCCATGGGTTCCGGAGAGGGCTGCTCAGCGTCGCCGGGAGCTGCCTTGGCTGCGGCTTCCGCTTCCCGAGAGTGCAGGCGAGGGTCAGGGGAGCGGACGGGCGGCAAGAGCACCTCGGGTTCCTGGGCTCCCACCTTGGCGGAGAGGTAGAGCTCCCGAGCGCTGCGCATGACCAGCGACAGCTGTAGGCTCCGGTGCAGCCGCAGGCCACCGCGCTGCATGCGCGAATGGTACATCTTCCACACCGACAGGGTCATGATCCGTTGCGCCTCTTTCTGCACTTCCATAGCTGCTCGACGGCGACGGCGAGGGCGGCAGGGACTCCCGGCTGGGCACGGCAGGTGGCAGGTGCACTTCGGAAAACGCGCTCGTTCACGCCACTCTCAGCAGGACAAGCCACGCGGAGACACTACCAGGACGCTCTGCCCCGGCGCCCGCCACCCGGGCCCTTTTGTACCCGGAGTGAAGTCACCGAGACGCCCCGCCCAATCAGAGAGCCGCATCCGGGCTTTCCGCGACGCCTCGGCGAGAACTCCTTAAAGCGACAGGGTGGAATTTACTGAGAGAAGAAAAGGGACCCGAACTCCTGTGAGAAGCGTCCCCCAATCCAAGCTGAGCTCTCAGGGTGGTCTGCTTTCTCAGGGCCGCTCACTGAACCCGCGCGCAGGCTCGGGGGAGGGGGGCCGTGGGTGGGGCTCAGGGCCCCCCCACCGGTTGTGTCTGGAGACCCCTGTAGGTCATAGGCTGCACGTTTCCCTTCGCACCCAAGAAAACTTGGGTTCCAAACGGTAGCTCCCCGGTGGGAACTGTGTCTACCATCTACCAGGAGCCTAATTAATGTTTGTGGGTTTTTTAAATCAATAATGGTGCTGACAATTATTAAGCACTTGCTAAGTGCCAGGCGCTAAAGGCTTTCCTATCATAAACATCTCATTGATCTCTCACTTCCACTCCATGGAGGATTAGTTGTGTTTTATTTCTTTAGGCGGGGACACCAAGGCACAGGGACTCGTCCAATATTCGCTAAACGAATACTTGAGCCACAGCGGTGAAAGGGGATCAGCGGAGCCTCCAGCACGCCTGTATTGCCAGCCTCCGCCCACCCTCCTCACTCCCCTTGTTTAGAGGCGGTAAGAAGGCAGGACACACTGACTGGCTCTAGGGCAAAGCTGCCCACTCCACGGGATGTGGATGTCTGAAGACACGAGCGCAGCCCAAGCTACTGTCTCTGTGCCCCGCATCGAACATCCCTCTGTTTCCCTCCGCAAGAAATCCACCGGAGGCGTCCATGCCCTAAGGCGGAGGACCAGGCAGCAACACTGCCCGAGTGAGCACGTGGCTGTGGCCCCCCAAACGACGCAGCCGAGCTCCGCCTCTGCTCCCGGGGAGGCGGAGCTGGATTAGGACTTGGAAACGGAGCAACGCAGAGAGAGAGCAGATGGATAGAAAACAGCGGCCCCACCTTCTGCTACGCACTAAGGTTCCAAGAAATATTTCCAGTTCCTCAAAAACCGCGAAATTGTTCGAACACTTCCCTTCATTCGTGGTGTGGGCCCTTTAAGGGCAAGCTCCCCCGCCCCCTCCACACCGGTGCGCGAACCTTCCCGCCACTCTGTCAGCCATACTTCCACAACTAAATTTGGAAGTAGTGACGTAGGGCAAGAGCGAGCCGCTTCCGGATGCCCTTATAAGGACAAGGGCCGGGAACGCAGTACGTGACTGTAGCCGGCCTCTTCCGGATGAGCGGGGGTGGTACCTTAGCCTCCCCGCACGCCCCTCCGCTCTCCCTCTACCGGCAGCTAGAGTTGACTGGAGCCCCCAGTTTCCGGAGCCGCGTGCAGCGGGGTCCGCGGAGAGTGAGAGGGAAGTTTTGCTTTTCCTCCGGAGGCCAGAAAGGTGTGACACCTCTCCGGGAAAGCCCCCTGCTGGCGGGCTTGCACTGAAGCCATCTCCCAGAGACCTACACACAAAGACCTTGCCAACACAAGTAGCAACTCCCTAAGGACCCAAGGGTCACTACATTCCTGTCCTCGCCACCCCTCCCATGGAAACTCTCCCAGACCCCCCCCCNTTCAAGTATTTCTGCACCTCCACCAAACACTGATCTGCACCTTTGGAGCATGCTCAGATCCTCCAGCACCCAACCCCGGCACAGGGAAGTTCAGCAAGTATTCTCTCGTCTCTAAGAATTCTCCCCAAACTGTCTCCATTCAGCGATCCTTCCACATATTACAGCAACCTGCTGAGGATGCCCCCATTTCTTGTGCCTTTCTTCCCCGAAACTTCACAACGACATCTCCAGCTCTCTCTGACGCACAACAGGGGCAACCCTCCAAGGACTTCAGACATCCCGCTCCAGAAATCCGGACCCTACACAGGAGACAGCTGCTTCCCTCCTATTAAAAAACTGATTTTCCCAGCGACGCCACACAGAAGGGTTCTGTCACATAGGTGGCAATCCTATGTGTCCCTATCCAGACTTTCCCGGTCCCTCTTCACACGCTGAGGACTTCCCTGCAGACCATTCTCAGAGCCACCACCGCACCCTGTCTGGCGACCCCAAGGATCGCACCCAGAAAGACCTCACCACCACCACCCCTCGAAGCTTCTCTAGGGCCCCTACTCAGGGCCAACCCGCCCCAGGGCGATCTCGAGGCTTCCCTCCTCCGCAGGAAAAAAGAGGAGGGGAAGAGTCTCCCTCAGAACTTTATATAGAATGCCCGCACTTCACCCTGCCCCCAAACCTGCCACTCCGACCCTGGCCTGGGACCGTCTCCCATCTCCTAGGACAGGATTTGGGTGCAGGCTCAAGGAGTCCATAACGACGGCCCACAAATGAATGAGCCCCTTCCCCAGCCATAATCTCGCCTGTTTTGAAGGAGACATTATGTACATTGCTCGGAAGGGAAAACTGAGGTTGCGCAGCAACAATCCGAGGGGCTGGGTCTCGAACCGAGGGATTCGGAGCTCTCGAGTCGAACCCAGTGAGACAGAACTAGGACACAGCTAGGGACCGAGAGCGAAGGGGCGGTTCTTGCAGACAGGAAACCGTCTCTGCCCACAACCAAGATGACTGAAGAGAGAGCGGATGTTTCCGCACTTCGGGCCGAGGGCCACTCTTTCTCCCCTGGCGGCCCCGCTCTCGATGGTGGCACGGGTCACGTGACGGGGGGCGGAGTGACGGCGCGTCCTCACCTCTTGGAGGGAATTAGCTTCCCAGGCCGAGAAGGGAGGGGATTCGGCCTCGGGAGGGTGGGGGGCGTGACATGTCTCTCGAAGATCCTTTTTTTGTAGTCCGAGGGTGAGTGACAGCGATGCGGCAGGACACGGGGTATTGTGTCCCCTTGCCAAACCAGTGCCCGCGTGCCAGGCGGTGCATGTCAGGCATTCTGGGCACCGCCGTCGGGATCGCCCAGTGGCCATGTGGGGAGGGGTCCGCAGGGGGATATGAGGGTCTCCTGAGCTCTCAACCTGTTTGGGGGCGTAATGGTGGGCGGGAGGACCGCCTACTACCCCCCGGCCAGCCGCGCCCGCTGTGCCCCTGCCCGCAGCGAGGTGCAGAAGGCGGTGAACACGGCCCGTGGGCTGTACCAGCGGTGGTGCGAGCTCCTGCAGGAGAGCGCGGTGGTCGGACGCGAGGAGCTGGACTGGACGACCAACGAGCTGCGGAATGGCCTGCGCAGCATCGAGTGGGACCTCGAAGACCTGGAGGAAACCATTGATATCCTGGGGGGGTGGGGTGGCATGGGAGAGTCCACTGCAGGGACAGGGGGCGCTGAGAGCCAGCCCTTGGGGGAGGCTGCACACCTAGGAGGTGTTGAGGACTTTGAGGCGTAGGAGGGCGCACGTTCCGTCGGGCTCTGGCTTTGACTCTTGACTAGCCGCATACGCATAGTGGAAGCCAACCCCGGCAAGTTCAAGCTCCCAGCTGGAGACCTTCAGGAGAGAAAAGTGTTTGTGCAGAGGATGCGGGAAGCAGTGCAGGTGAAGAGAGTTTCCGATGGGGTGAGGAGGGTTGGGGTGTCTTTTTACTCTCTGATGCTGTCCTTATCTGTAGGAAATGAAGGACCATATGGTCAGCCCGGCAGCCGTAGCCTTCATGGAGAGGAATAACAGGGAGGTAAGGCATTCCCACCCAGTGCCCTCACCCGCTGTGTCTCGGGTTGATCCTCAGAGTGCAAGCCTGGCCCCTCTGTGCATTCGCCTGTCTCCTGGGGACCCGTGCATCTGTCCTTCTGCATCCGTCCTCATCTTCGTGCAGTTGTCTCCATGCTGTCTACCCACCTGCTCTTTCTGGATGAGCACAACTGATTTCTCTCTGTGTGTATAATCCCTTCTGCCCCCTCCTGTGGGTCTACTCTACAGGTTTTCTCTGTGTGTGGCAGCCTGTCTCCGTTTCTTGCTCTCTGTGTTATTGTTTCCAGGATATATGTTGACCTTTTTTCTTTTCTTTTTTTCTCCTTTTTTTGGGCCGTGCCCAGCAGCACGTGGAATCTTAGTTTCCCCAACGGGGGGTTGAACCCTTGCCCCTGTGGCCCCTGCATTGGGAGCTTGGAGTCTTAACCATGGACCACCAGGAAAGTCCGTGTGCTGTTTTTTTTTTAAGTCTGTGTAAGCACTTGACCTCTCTGATCATGGCCTCTGAGTGGATCCCTGTCGGCCTTGGGTAGATCCACCATTTCCCTTTTGTGGGTGTGGTCGCCCCCTGTGTGTACCCACTCCTGTCTTTTGTGCCCATTCTCTCTGCTGCCTCTGTGTGTGCAGCTTTTCCCTCTGTGTTGTTCATTCTTTGCATGTTGTGTAACAGCAACCTCACTCGATACACCTACATTGGGGTCTGGAAGGGTGGGGGACTGAAGCCTGCAGCAGCTTGGGGTCCTGTGTCAGGATCCACATGCCTTCCAGGTGTGCTGTTTTGGGGATTAATGTTCAAATTCTTCTTATTTCTTAAAAAAAAAACCCACAAATTCTTCTTATTTGTTTATTTAGCTGCATCAGGTCTTAGTTCCCCCACTGCATGTGGGATATTTTTTTTCATTAAAAATTAATTATTTTTTGACCGTGCTGTGTCTTTGTCACCGCACAGGCTTTTCTCTTGTTACGGTGGGTGACTGCTCTCTGGTTGTGACGGGCCCAAACCTTGAGGGTTTCAGTAGCTGCAGCATGTGGGCTCAGTAGTCGAGATTCAAGGGCTCTAGAGCACAGGCCCTGTAGTTGTGGCACATGGGCTTACTTGCTCCATGGCATGTGGGAATCTTCCCAGACCAGGGATTGAACTTGTGTCTCCTGCATTGGCAGGCGGATTCTCTACCACTGAGCCATCAAGGAAGCCCCAACCTGTGGGATTTTAGTTCTCCAACCAGGGACTGAACCCATGTCCCCCGAATTGGAAGGCAGATTTTTAACCACTGGACCACCAGGGAAGTCCCTTAAGTTCAGATTCTTAAATACCTGTGTTTATAGGTTTATAAGCATGCCAGGGTTAATTTATTAAATCCTTGTTCCATCCTCAGGAAACAGGGTTTATAGACCTCCCCACTTTACAGGTGAGGAAACTGAGGTACAGGGAAGTCAGGTGGTATCACCTTGAGGTCAGCTTGCTAGTAAATGATGGCCCAGAGGAGCCCAGGCCATTCTACTCCTGAGACTGTCTTCCTGAGTAGCCACCATCTAGTCTCTGCCGGGAGTGGGCGACCCTCCCTGAGCCTGCTGTCTGGGTCCCTACAGATGGTGACAGGCAAGCCGGCCACCCTGAAGTCCTCCAGCGACTTGCTGGACGCCAGTGTGGTCTCGACCACCTCTCGCTACATTGAAGAGCAGCAGGCCACACAGCAGGTGCGTGCAGGCGGCTGGCAGCCCCAGGCTGGAGGAGACTGCGGACAGCTCAGGGCTCCATGCCAACCTCAGTTCCCACCCTTTCACCCTGCAGCTGATCCTGGACCAGCAGGATCAACAGCTGGAAATGGTGTCTGGGAGCATCTCAGTTCTGAAACACATGTCCGGCCGTGTTGGGGAGGAGCTGGACGAGCAGGGCATGTGAGACCGGGACCCTGAGGGTGGGCCAGGAGCCCATGGCCGGCTGCTCTGGTGTGCACAGAGCCTCTAGGAGCTGATGCCTTCCTGGTCTTGGCAGTATGCTGGACGCCTTTGCTCAGGAGATGGACCACACCCAGTCCCGGATGGATGGGGTCCTTAGGAAGATGGCCAAAATATCCCACATGACCAGTGGTGAGTCCCCTGGGGTGGGGGAGTGGGGGGGGTGCTGCCTCCCCTCTGTGAGCTCTGACCCTCTTGCCCCCAGACCGCCGACAGTGGTGTGCCATCGCGGTGCTGCTGGGGGTGCTGCTCCTGGTCCTCATCCTCTTCTTCTCTCTCTGATCCTGGGCCTCCCCAGGGGGCGGTCCCTCCAGCTGCGGGGGGCTGGCAGGGCCCTGCCCCCGAGAGGACTGGGAGGTCATGCCGGGAGAGCTGTCCCAAGGCTCTCATCTGGAGAGGACCCTCAGGGCTCCGGGCTGGAGCCTCTACTACCAGTCTGGTCTTAAGTGTACTTAGGGGGTGGTGGAGGAGGGGGACCTCAGACACACCCCTCTCCATCTCTACTCCTCAGAGCCATCACTTTGCCCCTGTGCCTTCTACATGTGCCAACTTAGAAATAAAATCCCAGCCTTTATTATATATGTTTGTATCCTACGATATGGTGATCTGAATTGGTGGCTGCCCCAAATGGGAACTCCTGTTCTAAGACCCCTGCTTGCACACCCTGGGGCCACGTGCGCATGTGTGCCCATGTGTGTTAGGGATTTCAGCGGTCGACATTCAGTGCAGAAAAGACTATTCTGGTGTATTTCTCAGATTTCATGATGGATCATTTTAGTACCATCAAAAAAAATTCAACCACTGATTTTTCCTTAAGTTTTTGAACTTCAGCCTAAACATCTTTTGCTTGTTCTGTGTCTCCAGTAGGTGAATCCCTTAGCTGGGGAGCTCAGCTGGGACTTCTGAGGCGCCTCTCAGTACCACAGGGCTCTCTTGTACACCAGGTCACTTCCATCCTTTTGTGATGCAACGTTCTAATAAGGTGTGAGTGTGTGCTCAGTCGTGTCTGACTCTTTGAGACCCCATGGACTGTAGCCCTCCAGGCTCCTCTGCCCATGAAATTTCTCAGGCAAGAATACTGGAGTGCATTGCCATTTCATTCTCCAAGGGATCTTCCCAACACAGGGATCAAACCTGTGTCTCGTGCATTGCAGGCAGAATGTTTACTGCTGAGCTACCTGGGAAGCCCACTACAAGGGAGCATTTGTAGATTTAAGGACTTTGTTGTAGAGCCTGCCTGAGTCGGAAATGATCTCTATAAGCTGGGTAAACTTGGAAGTGAATCTGCACTTACTGTCGTAGATGTTTCCATCCTGAGCATTATGTAATTTGACATCAGAATCACCCTTGTATGTTTGACACATTGTAAAGTGTTGTGTGTTACAAGGCCGTCTGTCATCCCATTCAGCCCCAAAGGCTGATTTGTCAAAAAGAACCAAATATGTACAGATTCCGTTTTTTTTTTTTTTTTTGGCTGTGCCACGCAGCTTGCAGGATGTTGGTTCCCTGACTAGGGAGCGAACCCAGGCCCCCTGCAGTGGAAGTGGTCTTAACCACTGAACCACCAGGGAAGCAGGGAAGTCTCCCTTTCTTTTAATTTTTATTTTTCTTAATATATGTATTTTATTGAAGTATAGTTGACTGTTTTTCCCTTTTTTATTGTTTTTAATGCAAAACTACTACCACTGATGTTCTGATTCAGGTTGTCTTGATCCATTCCATATTTGGTTCTCAGTCTTCCTGGGCTTAAAAGACATGCTTCTGGGGGTCTGACACCACCTTGCTGGGATTGCCTACATATTCAGACAGGACTTTCTGTTCCTTGAGGTGACTTTGGACCAGTCACCTCAGGATTTTTGTTGGTGATGCTGTTGGCTCCCCCAAGCCCTACTTTCTGTTGGCTAAAGCTAGGCTTCAGGACTCCAGAGGGGGCTGGCCTTACTGAAACATGCACAAGTGACCCTGTGAATTGTCACCCTCAATGATCTTCCCTGTGGAAGTCTGAGGCTCCCTCCAGTCCCCATGGGGTGGTTGGACCTGGACTGGGTGGAGATGGAGGCCGTCTACCTCCCCAGCATGGATATCTTGATTTGATGGACTCTCTTAAGATCAGTCAAGTTTTCCCACACTTCTTGAGACATCTCTAAATTCAGGGGCCCCTAAGGTATGTTTTGTCTTTTGTTTCAGTTGATAGAATTTTCTTCTGTTCATATCCTCTTTAAAGCCATCCTGACTTTAATATTATATATATATATATATATATATATATAATTTTTTTTTTTGCTGCACCATGAAGCATGTGAATCTTAGTTCCCCTCGATCAGGTATCATAGAATCTATGCCCCCCTGCCCTGGGGGCAGTCTTCACTTCTGGACACCAGTGAAGTCCCCCAGTGTTCCTCTGAATGCACTGGTTTAGGATGGGGTGATGGGGTGTGGATGCAGGTTCAGGACTTGAATCTAGAGCTGGGGTGTCAAATACCATGGGAGGGGATGCTGGGAGACCCCAGAGCAGGATTTAGGGCTTACACCTGTGAGGGAACAACCTGGGGTAACCTAGAAGGAACTGGAAAGTATTGGCTGCTTGAGTCTGAATGCAGTCCCCCCTCAAGCTGGCTGGAGAAGGACATGGCACCCCACTCCAGTATTCCTGCCTGGGAAATAAATACCTTGGATGGAGGAGCCTGGGGGATTACAGTCCATGGGGTTTCAGAGTTGGGACACAACTGAGCAACTGAACTCAAGTGACATTAAGGCATAATGTTTGGCATGGCCATCCTGAGTGTGACACCCTGGGGTATGGAGATGTGGATGTATGGAAGAAGGGCGGCTCTGGTGTGCAGCGCGTGGGACCCACCACCCCACGCCCCCAGTGAGCAGCTGGCAGCAGGGCTGTTACAAAGGCGTTTAGTTTATTCTCCTCATCAGTATCACTGATGTCCTCACGGTTCACATTTCCCAGTGCGGCTCCTCCTCTTACAGTAGTCATGTGCAATCTCACTTATGGGCCCAGGGTGGGGAGGGGCTCGGCCCAGGGCAGGGAGGGTGTTGGCACTCCACGCAGACAGATTGTCCTGCGTGAAAGAGGCGAGGGTGAATGGGCGGCCGGCGGGGGAGGGGGGGTGGCCCCCCCCCCACAGTCTTTTTTGCGTTGGTCGGTGGTTCTCCATGTTCCTTCCTGGCTGCCCGGGCTTGGGGGTCCATGCAGCGCAGCGCAGGGCAGGGTGGGCTCGGGTGGAGGGGGCAGGGAAGGCAAGAAGGAAAAGCAGCAGGCCACCCAGGAGCAGGAAGCAGGGCGGGAGGGCGCAGGGGTGGCTCCCGGGGTAAGGCACAACCCTGTCTTTGGCTCTCCTGGTGAGGAGTTTCCTCCCCTGCACCCCTGCCCAGCCCCGCTCCCCACCCCCCAGACCGCCACACACAGTCCAGAGAGCCAGGGGGGCACCTCCTGGGGTCCCTGAAACAAGAGGGCTCTGCCACCCAACCCAGTGCTGCAGGGGCTCGAGGAAAAAGGCAAGGAGGGGCTGGACAGAGGCCTGCCCAGGACAAGGGGGTGGGGAGGGAGAAGACCCCAGTCCCAGAGAGCTGGCCCCCACTAAGGCCTGGAAGGAGGGGCGTGCCTGGGGACTCCGGCTTCCTTGTGGGGTCTGGCTGGAGCCCCAGCCCCACCCCTCGGCCTTGGTCGGCCCGGCAGCTTGCCAAGTGACCAGGATATTGTGCTTTGGGATCTATGCTGGGGTGGGTGCTGAGACCAGGATTGGGGGGGGCGGTGCAGGGTAGGTGTGACTAAGGTGCTTGTGCTTTAGTTGGGGGTGTTGACTCCCCCCACACACTCGAGCCAGCTGAGGCCACGAAAGCAGAGTCCCGGGACCCCAGCTGGACTGATCCCCCCACCCCTGCAACAAGCAGATGTCAGGAAGGACCTCCCCACCCCGGCCCCACAGGCTGGCGGGGGCTCCTGGGGTTTCGGGGGGGGGGCAGGCCTCCAAGTCAGGTTTCAAGGGTCCAGTGGGCCCCCACCACCTCCTGTAGTCCCCTTGCTTTTGGAGAGAGAGGCTGCTGGGAGCAATGGGCGAGTCAGATTGGGGAGAAGACAGAGGCATGAGAACAAGGGCTGGAGACAAAACTGTGAAATTGCAAAGAAATGACACCCAGTGGGTGTGTATGGGGGAAGGGGAGTAGAGTTAAAAAAAAAAGAACCCTCTGAGTTTACATGTAGAACTCAAAAATCTGGGACACCCTTGCAATGGAGCCCCATGGGGGAGGCATCGAGGGGTGAGTGGGAGCTGGCCGGACCCACAGGAGCCCAGGCAGAGCGGGGCTTGGGGGGGCCCCACCTTGGAAACGCACACCCACACTCCACACACATGCGCAGCACATTCAGCCTGCCCCCTGGCCCCCCCACCCCGTCCTGCCTTCCACAGCTCTGGGGACCAAAGGGGACATCAGACCCAGTCCCATTGGTTTGAAAAATAAAAGGAATCTTATACTTCAATATTTCATTAGCTAAAAAAATGTTTTAAAAAGTATGTACAGGGGGTGGGGGCTGGGAGCCCTGCCGAGGGGGCGGGGTGGGGTGGGGAAGGGCGGGAAAGGCAGCAGCCCCCTCCCCCTAGCCGGCTCCCCTGGGTTCCACCCCTGGTCCTACTGCCTCTTATGTCTTCATTTGTTTAAGAGCAAAACTTCTACACACGCACACGCGCGCACACACACACACGCACACCCACACACTTCTGCACGCCCGGAAACCTCTCCTCCTGTCCTCAGAGACCTGCGGTCTGCCCCCAAGGGCCCCCCTCACTCAGGACCTGCCCCTCTCAGGCCCCAGGGGACTGGTGATGGCAAGAGGCTGAGCACGGGGAGGGGAAGAGAAGGGCGCTGGGCCTGCCACCGCCCACCACCTTGGGTCGGCCAGTTTCTCTGAGCCTCAGTTTCCTCAGTTGTAAAATGGGCAGTCCTCACGGCCTCGCCTACCCCAGCCCCCAGGTGCAGGGACAGACGAGGGAAACAGGAAGGCGCTTTTGGAAACATGGAAGCACTGGGAGGTGGTGGTGGGAGGGGTCCTGAGAACCCGGGGGCCCCTGCAAGTCCCGAGGGGCTGCAGTGGGGGGCGGAGGCTGAGGAATGCTCCCGCTTGGTGGCCCAGGGCCTGGGAAGGGGGTCTTCCCAAGCCCCCCCCAGGCTGGCCCCTCCCTGTGCCTGGCCTGGTGAGTGGGGAGAGAGTCACTAGGGGTTAGGAGACGGGGAGCAAGAGCCCCCCGACTGTGCATGAGTGTGTGCTAGAGAAGGCCACGCGGACCTCGCACCACCTGCCATCCTCTCCCAGCCCGGATCCCCGATCGGCTTGGGGTCAGGGGATGGGATGGGGAGGCAGAGGAGCTGGGAGCATGCAGCACCCCTCGTGGGTCCTGGGGAAGGACAGACAGTAGCTCGTGACCAGGATGGCGGGTGGGTGTGACAGGAGGGGGAGTGTGGCAGCCCCGAGGGGGGGTCCACTGGGGGTTACTGGAGGGCCTCCTCGGCTGAGGGGCCGGCCTCGCCATCGTGGCTGGCCGTCTCGAAGCCGTGCTCCACACCCATCA